CGCATGAATCCGGACAGACTTAAATCGAAAGAACTAGAGTTAAACACAGGTACGAGTATGTGGCTATAACCAAACAACGAGACAGAGAAAATGAGTATTTATAAAGGATCAATAGTTTGGTTTAGGTGCAAACGTTGAAATTTATATTACGATCTACATACGTATATATTTACTTCTACTGTTCCATGGTACGCTGACAGTCTATCAGTTAGTCCTACGTAATCATATCCAAACCTCCTTTCTAAGGAGAGGCCTATGTCCAGCAGTGGACTAGTAAAGACTGTTGATGAATCATATTCATTTGAAATTTTAAAATTTACTTTACAATAAAGTTTCTTTAGATAGATCAGATACTATATAAAACAGCCAAGTGTATATAGATAACCAAAAAGTGACAGTCTCAGTTTCCTTCACAGATTAACTAAAATCACCTGTAGGTAGGTGAAATCACCTACTTCTTATATTAATTCGCTTTGCAAACTAGGCTTACCATATAGCCGGAACGATAGACAGCAAGAGGGCCTGTAACTGTCTCGATGGCCATTTGTCCCGACAATCTAATTACCATTGACCTCTGTCATGAACTTTGTACTATTTCAGTTCGGCAGTTTAACGTTAAACGACAACTGACCAAGACACAAATTAAACCAGGAGAATCAATTCAATTTATTCCAATTAAAATACGTATTTGGTAGGCATTTATATTTCAACGACATCTTGAAAATGTATTTTGTGATAGTTATTTCATTTTTGTGGATTTACTATATTTTTTCCTCCTCAAACTTTTTCTGATTAATTTCGTTGGGGGTTCCAAGACAGTTTTATTTCTTCCTGGGACTTCCCGAGTATCATAACTCGGTGTCTTCGTGGGTCACTGCTGTGGATCCTGGTGTACAGGAGTTACAGTGATGGGCGTGTGGATGGGATTAGTCCCAACAAAAAAAAAGTTATTTCAATAACCTAACGCTGAATTTTATGTAAAAATTACAATGGATAACAGTTTTTGTCAGAGAGTGCAAGTTTACGCAGAATAAGATCTTTGTCCTTTGTTTTTTTTTCTACAAATAGAATAGAATCGAATATATTTTATTTATATATACATCAAAATAATAACCGTATAGGTACAAATGGCGGCCCTATCTCTAAAAAGCAATTTCTTATAGGCAACCTTTGGATGGACACATCGAATGTAGGTAAGCAAATTCATGGGTAGTTTTGGTGTAAAAAAAATTAATAATAATAAAATATTTACACACATTACATACAGCAAACATCACTTGATTTCGATAAAAGTAAATATCAAAAGTATTATTGATTGTGATGCAGTCAGTTCAGCAATACTTATATTAATACATATTTACATAAATACATAACATCTTCATTTTTAATTCAGTGGAATAAGACAGATATAATGATTTCGTTACATAATAAATGATAAGGACAACTAATGTTCTTTGACCATTTTCTTAAAGATGGCCAAATAGTTATCACGTTTTATAGTTTTTGGCAAAGCATTCCATAGTCGGACAGCCTGTACAGTAAACGACTTATCGTAGAACGAGGTACAGTTAGTTGGTACTGCCAGTTCAAGAGGTTTAGATTACCTCAAGGATCTTAAATTTATGTTACTGAGGTAAATAAAGCGTTCCTTTAAATAATGTGAATTACATGGATCAAATAGAATACTATAAAGTATGTCACTTAAGCAGATTGCGATGTTCAGATACATGATCATATTTGCATAGTCCAAATATAAATCTAATATGAAAATGCTCAGTTTTTTCTTGTAAAACTACAATATTCTTTGATGTTTGACATAATGCCAAATAATAGGCAAGTTTGTATAGAGTAAGTTAGTATCCAAATGATATCAAAAGTAAAACATGCTACCATTTCTAAAAAATATATTATCTAAAACACTTTTCATGTAATGTTCATCAAGATTTTTTTTCGTAGGCTCTTGTAGCATCATTTGTTAGTGTATAAAAGTCTACATTTTTTAGTTCGTATTTCATATTTTAATTATACAAAAAAAAAGTCAATTGTATTTAAAAACAAAATAGTTTCAAACAGAGCCTATATGATTTACCACGATACACATACTCGTAAAACAGTGAGCAAAGGCTCACCTCCGTGTTAGCATAGATAATACAAACACGGATAAATAAGTTCTCACCAAGGATATTTCGCTGAACTTTACAAAAGGCCGCACTGAAACAGCTCCTCTGGGTACTTTAAACTAAGCAGCACCAATACTATTGACTACTTTTAAAAGATGAATAACGTTAAACCAAATATTTCTGCTTTGTCCCTTCATTTATTTCATTTCGTTTGACTGTAACTGCGTAGTTTATCATTCATTTATTTATTTATTTGCGAAAACGGTATATATATTTGCAGATCTTATAAGCTAATACAATTATTGATTTTTCACCATTATAAGGCATGCAACAAAAAACGAGAGAGAGCGAGAGAGAGAGAGAGCGGAAATAGGCACCAGGACTATGTGGTGATTCCACTAAAAAAACACCCCGACAGCCAGCCTTAGGTGCCCTGCACACTACTGTATGCACACTTAATGTATTTTACAATTACATTTTGGTAACAAACTCTTGTACAACGTAACATTATTAGCATTTTACATAGTTCGGGTATAACAGACGAAGGGCATCAGTAGCTGCTAAGACAATTGTTTCCAGGTCCTTCGCCCCTGTCCGCCCCCTGCCCCTGATATACATGTAATAGATATGGAATAACATAGTTTGTTAGAAAATTTATTCGTACTAACCAAATGAGTCAAAAGTTACTCGAATAAACGATTTATTTATTTTTATTATTTATACTGTCGTTAATTTTCACTTGATGCTATCAGATGTACACACAATTTTAAGTTATTTTTTCAGGCAAACATGTTTTAACTCAACATACCCGACAAGCAATATGTTTTGCATTTAGACAGCTTAGATTTATGTTCCCTAAGCCAATATGTAGTAAAACCTAGCAACGAAAAGAGGACACTGTGGTCAATGTGTACAGAAAAACCAGGGTATTTAGAACTAGTTTCGGAGGAGCTGCAGGAAGATGATGCATCCATTGGTATGTATTGTGAGTTGGTGCATTTCAGGTATTTTAAGCAGTATAAGACATTTTCTCAGGGAGTAAATTAAACAATTTCCGATACTTAAATAATTTTTGATACCACGGCCTCGCAGAATAGAGGTGTTTAGCAATTATTTCATTTCATTACATCTAGTTAATTTATCTATGGATTACCAGAGGCCCAAACACAGTTTTCTCTAAATCCAAGAGGGGATGGGGCTCAAACGGAAACTTGAAGGGGCACATGGGCGGAGGCGGAGTCACTTACCATTAGGTGACTCCGTGTGGTGACGAATTAAGAATACGGAGTGCCACCACCCCTATTCATCACATGGGTGTCGTAAGAGCCGACTAATGAAGCAAACTACGCAGGACAACAGCACCGCAAAGAGAAGGAAAACTTGACAAAACCCTATACCAACCCGCCAGCCAGGGCAGCGTGGTATATAAGGTCAATACCTCCTTTCTAAGAAGAGACCGATATAGCAGTGGACTATTAAAGGCTTTTGATGATGATGATGGTGATTAGGTGACCTGGTCTGCCCGTTTGCTCCCTGTAATCTATAAAACATTATGTAATTTATAATGTTAAGGTTATGGCGTTAAATAGTTATTTTTTAGAGAACCTTTCAGCCCTGCTTCTGCTAGGGTAACTCATCGTTTTCCCCAGGCCAGCGCTTATGGACGTCGCAGATCGTATTGCGTTCTCCGGTACCTGGTGCCACTTCTTCAGTGAAGGAAAGTTCTGATCCTCTCCCGTTCCCTTCCCGCCCACTCTTAAGCAGATATCAATTCCTCACTAAAAGTAGCGGCGGACAATGCAGTTTTTCCTTCATATGACTTACCGAAAAAATTCAGATCACAGATCAAAACGAAAGCGCAAGAGTTCAACATCAACAATCTATTGAATATGTAAACCTTACTTCCATATTCCTAGAAATTTATATTAGGAATAACGTTTAAAAATATTTTTCACAAAAAATATAATTATGAAACAAGAGTAGATTCGGTAAATAATAGTTTACGGATACACAAAGAAAATAATTACGAAGCAATAGTGGATTCGGAATATAATAGTGAATCACATAAACACAATGAAAATAATAATGGCGAAATTGTAGATTCGGCAAACAATAGTGTGGTAGGTACACACAAATTTACTAGAAATTTAAATAACAAATTTGAAGCTCTTCAACTGGATATAAAAGAAATAAGTCACAGTTCGTTTTGCATACCGCGGATGACAATTGTATTATTATTATCGTAGTTCCTAAAAAGATTAAATATCAAATCCTTATTGAAATTCCTGGTCAAAAGTTGGAACAACAAAGCGTAAAAGAGCACGGTATCATAGGAGAATTTGAAAAAAAATTACAATGCGTACCTAGTAGAGATGTGCTAAGATTTAAGTTGTTACGAGTTTATTAAGAATTGTTTGTATGTTGTATGACTTTATAAAATTGTATGACTTTATGTGTCAAACACCAACAACCTGCATCATTTATGATTTTTTCATGTGTCACCTTTCCTCTCACTTTCTTGCATTTTGTAGGACTGATTTTGTTAATAGGGACAGAAGTGTGTAACACGGGGTCGGGGACTCGCGCGCTATTTGTCTAATAAGCACAAGCGATGGTAGAGTTGGCCGACAAAGGTAATGATGATTATTTATTATATTATTGATGTTATACGTCATATACGGTTTATAGGCCCTATATGCTGCTATATGCGTATATGATTGCTGGTTTTTTTAGTTTGTTTTAGGTAGAGTGAATGCGATCACAGTCTCAACTGCACGACCAATTCATTTTTAATAGATGTTTAAACGAATTTTAATAATACTTTGTTTTTTTTTCAGATTAGTTACCTACCATCTAGTTGTTATCGTTTAAATAATAGAAATGGATCAAATAATGACGATGTTAATCCGACTGCAGCTACAAGAAATAAACATAAAAACAGTAATTGTGGGTCTACACGTCACTCAGATTTGGAAAATAAAGCAATTGAAGATGATGAAGCAATTCGTGAAGAAGAATCATTTAATGCGACGAATGGTGCGCCGAGTGATCAGAACACGTTATTTATTGATTATGGTTTTATAAATCAGTATCTTAATTTTCGGTGTCGTGCGATTTGACTGCAGTTTATCAAACGAGTGTTACATTTAAAGAGTCTAAACTAGCGATGGAATAAAATCGCTTTCACATGTGAAAAATCCTATGATTTAAAAATCATTTTGTCACACCAGCGACTGATTTACAAAGCCACTGCCACTTAATTATTATTATTACGCTAGTGCAAAACTCGCGAAAGGTCTAATATAAAGAATCTTTAAGAAATCTTTAATAAAAATAATTTTGATTGATTTTATTGCCATTTATCTTTGTTACGAAATCACGATCGCATGTAAAATCGCTGTGACTAAAACCAATCATTTCGTCAAATGAATATGATTTAAAAGTAGCAATAATTTCCTTATCTAGTCTGCACGTATTATTATATAAATGTACTCTTGCGTGTAAACGACCTATTAAGTTTATTCGGGGATTCCCACAGTAACCTTTCAGTGTTGCCATCTGAAATTATTAAAACCATGCCATGTGAACAACAAATCGAGTGGTTTTTAGGCAATATTGTATTGAAAACAATTACTATCGATAGTAGAGGTGTTATTGGGTCAATGTAATCTGCAGTATCTTACCTTTAAGATCGTTAAAAAAAAGCTGTAGTTTAAAACATATATACTCGTATATTGCTATTATAATGTCTTATAATATTGCTATAGAGTAAAAACATCGCCAAAATTTCTTTCACCTGATGGTTCAAGAGATACGAGTGTTCTTCCGGATTAGGGTTTGCTGCTCCGTTAATCTCATGTAAAGATTTTATTTCTTAATCTTGTCAAATCAATGCTTTTGGGATCCAAAAGCAGTTTGCCTATCGGTAGAGTTTCCTCAATAAATTAACCCATACCTTAATGTTGAAACTACATAAGCATGGTATGCTGTAAGCACAGTAGAATGGTTGACAGTTTTGGTTAACATGTGTAGTGCATAAGAAAATTTATTCTATTCAGAACATACCTACATACAATATTAATACCTAAAAACTTTGCAACCTTGACTTCATAAACTTGCTGTCCATAATAATTTACATCTTCTTCAGGTTTAAAAGAGTTATTAGTATTACGAAAAAACATTACACTGTTGTTCATTTAAGCTTATGACAAGATTATTATTCTTTAACCAATTAATTATATGAATAAGACTGTTATTAATTTCTGATATAAGCAACTCAGGATTTCTAATCAAAAACATCACTGTGCGAAACTAATGATAGTGTTTTCGAAGTGAATAATTTATTTTGCTTTATCGATGGCACAATAGTTTCTTCTATTTTTTTGATGTTTGATATTTTCGAGAATCTTCTGCTTTGGCACAACACTAGCAGAGCAGAAACTTATTTAATAACAGACACTATAGACAGTATTGGTTTAAAGTTTAAAAAGTCCCTGCACGTTGTTATCTTTCCGCAGTGAATTGTTTCCTCAAAACCTACATGCGCAGTTATTGTTTCTCTCCTTGTCCTTACAATTTATATCTACCCTGCCAATTGTAGGAAGAATTATTGTGAACACAGGAAGCAAAACAACGTTCAAGTTTAATTAAGTTTATTTATTTGCTTAAGATTGGATTATGTAACTTCTTCAAGGTGTCGCTAAGTGAGTTTATAGTTGTACATGTGTTTTTGATCAAATCTATTTTTGTTATCAGTTATAGGTTGAATAACTTCAAATAATTGTGTTTCTTAAAGTGTTCAATGGGTAAGGTAATTAGATAGGGGTTTTACCAATAAACACACAGGTTAATGCTGTATTAATTGTTTCTTTTAATCTCTAATTAATCATAAAATAATAATATTTAATAATTTATAATGCAGATCCTTCTGATGCGAAGAATTTGTCAAAGTCCTATTCAGCTTTACTTGTTAAGTTTGTATTTAGTTTCACACTACTACATAAGTTCAAGAGTATCTTAAGAATTTCACACAGTCCTGGTATGCTTATTTGCCTATTCCCATAATATTTGGCAATAAATCTCACTTTTTTTTCTAAAAGTACTTTTTTGTTCAATCATACTTTGACTCTTACTACTATTACTCTATTATCTTTAAATATATAATAGTTACTTCACATATCTCACATGTGATGGGTGTGTGTGGTAACCAGATACCTGCTGATAAACATACTTATACATTTTACAGATAAGTTACACCATAACATAGAACAAGTAATCATGCTCATTACACTATTATTAATCCTGGGTGGGAATTGAGTCAATGATTTCTGGCTTTGCAGTCAGGGTCACCAAGCACTGAACCAACGGGCCAGTCAATGTATAACATATCACATTTATTTTCAGACCAAGATGTTGCAATTTAAACTTCCAGAGAAGCAATATATTTTGTCTTTGGACAGCTTAGATTTAAACTTCTTGAGCCAATATGTACAAAAGCCCAGTGATGTAGAGAGGGTATTGTGGTCAAAGTCTGTAGAGCCAGATCAAGCATTTTACCAGGTTGAAATAGTTTCTGAAGAGCGGCAAGATGATGATCCATTCATTGGTATGTACTGGGTCTCTCCACTAAAAAATAGTTAATTAGATATAATCATCAACAGTTTCATCATCATCAAAAAGCTACATAATTATAAACTAGCCTTTATGGTCACTGAACTGATATTTTTGTAGGGTTTTTTGCATAGTGTTGTAGCGGTGGTAGACATTTTTCTCTAATTAAGAAAGATTTATTATGTATGAATAGATAGCAAAGTTTAGTTTTCTGCTATTTTGTTGATGTAAAAATAAGTTTCTTTTAATTTAAATATGTTACAGCTTCAACCATCAATAATTTAATATTGATGGTTGAAGATGTTAATTTAATACATGCAAATTTTTTTTTTTTTTCAGAATCATATGAAAGTTTTTCATGTTACATTTGTAACATAGATGTCCCAAAAATATATTATAAACAACATAACAAAAGTGCAAGACATCAGAATTATAAAAAGTTAGTTGAGAAAGTCTTAGAGAATGTTAAAACACAAATAAATATTGACATAGATAATATTCCTAATAACCAGGAATATGATATGTTCTATTGTGAAACTTGCTGTAAAGTTGTAGCACGGAACAATAAGCAAAACCATAATAAATCAAACTACCACATACAATCTATTGAAAATGAACAACTTACTTCAAAATTCATTGAGACGTATATTAACAACAAGAAGACTGAAGATGATATTGAATCTGTAATTAATTATGAGCATGACTTAGATTCAGAATTCAGTAGTCCTTCCAACTCAGACTGGTGTGATACCAATAACTTTATAAAAAATTGCAAAAATAATAATGTTCTAAATAAAAGCAATAATTGTAATGGAATTGACGAAGTAGAAAAATTTCAAAAGTACTTAAAAGAAATGATTGCAAAATATAACTTAGATGTCAAGTTACCATCTATGGAAGGTAATTCAGTGGTTATTGTTACTCCTAAAGGATATAAGGAAAAGATCACAACAGACGCTTTTCATAGTTATAAAAAGATGAATGGCTTTGCGTTTTGTCTATCATGTCAAAAGTGGGTATCAGAAAATATCTCAGAACACAGTGCCTCTGAGGAACACGTCAGAAATATTTTTCAACCAGTAAATGACAACTTTGCAAGAGAAGTGGTAAGTGGTTATGCTTTTGTCATAGTATAGAGGACAAACGGGCAGAGGTATCAATGGTGTTATGTACTTCATGCATGACTGCCACTTTCATTGTTTAAACTGATCTGAGTGTCACATCATCACATCAACAGCCTCTAATTGTGCACTACTGGACATAGGCCTCTCCTTAGAAATGAGGTTTTGGCTGGCCAACGGATGGGTTGGTATTGGGTTTGTGTCAAGTTTTCCTTCCCTTTGCAGTGCTGTTGTCCTGCATAGTTTGCTCCTTAAGTCGGCTCTTACGACACCCACGGGATGAATAGGGGTGGTGACACTCTGTATGCTTAATCCCTTACCACACGGAGTGTGTGATTCCTAAGTATATTACTATATTTTTGATAATTTTCCTTCACTTTAATCTTGCTACTACTTGAATGTGTGTCTATCTAATGATGTATATTGTGCATGCCTGTAATTGGTCTACATTTAAGAACTGCAGAACTGAAGAACTGAAGAATTTATTGATTGCATTTTGAACAATATTGTATAGGTATATTGTTGGCATGTCTACAATAAATAAATAAATACTTCAGATAAACATTAGAATGCCAAAAATAAAAAGGAAGGTTATTTTCAACACAGTAAAATGTAATTAAAAATAAGTAGTGGCAGAAAGTGCCTTTTTAATATTTTTTATTTACAAAAACACTGAAAGTTTTTGTAGTAATTAATTAGAATTTTTACCTAATTGATTCATATCCTAATAATAAATTCATTCGTTTGAGATTATATAATAGGGTACTTTTTTTATTTTGATTTACTCTGAATGTATTAATAAAAAAACAATAATTAAAACAATATAAGTATTAAGAAATTATGAAGTGATAGGTAGTTTGATGTTTTAATTTATACATTTCACACCAGAATTTTAGTAATATTGCGAATGGTTTATTTACTGTTTTTGGGATCATAATAATAGATTAAGTCAAAAAAGTATCTGTCATGGACGATTTGTTTATGGTGACAAATTAAAATTTTTGTGTTTTTTTTGTTGTTGTTAGATTGGCACAACTGTTTTCCATTTTGGCGCGGAGTTTGAGTTGCATCTGTTATTTATATTAAATACAGTGCTGTTTTTAGTTATATCATATCTAGTGCATAAAAATTAATAATTTAATATTAATTTATTATTAATAAATTTGCAATACATGCAAATTTCATAATGGACAAAAACATCGAACAAAGATTTTGTCTTAAATTTTGCATCGCCAATGAAATTTCGTGTTCGGAGTCACTGCGGTGAATCGACTTTATCAAAAACACGTGCTTATGAGTGTACAAAGCGTTCAAAAGCGGTCGAGATGTGATGATAGATTTGCCTCGCTCTGGTAGGCCATCAACGTCTGCAACTGAACGTTGAAGTTAACATCGCAAAAGTGAAGGACATAGTGACTGAAAATCCTCATTCAACTTTGAGAGAGATAGCCGCAGAACTTTCTGTCGAGTCAATCCGTACCATTTTAACTAATCATTTGGGTATGAAGCATGTTACCGCTCGGCTAGTCCCAAAAGACATGAATTTTCTCCAAAAACTCAATCGCATGAGAGTCACTGAGGACATGCTAGAAAGAGTCAATTCCGACCCAACATTCATGAAACGCGTTGTTACTGGTGACGAGACGTGGGTTTACGAGTTTGACATGCAAACTAGTCAACAAGCTTCGGAGTGGCGCCTTCCAACTGAACCGAAACCGAAAAAACCACGCCAAAGTCGATCAAAAGTCTTAGTACTGTTGACTGTTTTCTTTGACTATCGCGGTGTTGTGCACTCGGAATTCATGCCGGAAGGTCAAACGGTAAATAAAGAATATTATTGGAGCGTTATACGGCATTTAAGAGAGCAAATTCGACGAAAAAGGCCAGATGTGGAAAGAAAATTCTTGGATTTTGCACCACGATAATGCGCCTTCGCACAAGGCCATCATTGTGAACGAATTCTTGACCAAACACTCAACAAATACCATCAAGCAACCACCATATTCACCAGATATGGCTCCAGCCGACTTCTTTCTTTTTCCTAAACTGAAATAACCGCCTCGTGGCACCGGTTTTCAATCGGTAGAAGACAAAAGAGAATTCGCGGCGAGAACTGAACTCAATTCCGGAAACAGCGTTTAAAAAATGTTTTGATGATTAGATTATTCGTTGGCGTGAGTGTATCGTTTCTGAAGGAGCATACTTTGAAGGTGATAAAATAAATTTGAATGAATAACAAACATTTTGTGTATTATTGATCTTTTCCCGGTACTTTCTTTAGAGCGTAGTACAACTTTACAAAACAAAGTATAATACCTTATTAAATCAGATAATCATTAATTAACTTTGTAAACATTGTTTCAGGTTAACGACAAGCAATATAGTCACTGCCTCATATGCAATGAAAGGGTATTAACAACATCAAATCATGTCAATGTTAGAATAAAACACCAAAAATATTTAGAACCAAGTGTGCCGAAGAGTAACGAATGTGAGAGGGGCCCGGAATCTATTTCAGATATGAAAAGCAGTTCAATTTCTAATGAAAAACCAAGTGAAAGTAATTTATCTAAAAGTGTTATTGATTCTTTCTTACCTCGTAATACGGATGTAGGAACAGTGGAAGAGAAATTGAACGAATATAGAAAACAATTTTCCATCATAAATGCAACTCAACTAAAATGCTTAGTTTGCCCCAACTCTATTGTGCCTTATGACGATAATAATATTATCACACATGTAAAAGGTAGACCCCATAGACAAGTATGGGCTAAGTTATTCCTTAAAAATAGTTTAAAGAAGATATCCTTGTCAGAGTATTATTGCAATTTGTGCAATCAATTTACTGACGACTTTCTTAATCACATCAAATCGCACGATAAGAATAACAAATGTGACAAGAGCCCGGAATTATTTGCAGATATGAATAGTAGTTCAATTTCAAAGGAAGAACCAAGTGAGAGTAATTTATCTAAAAGTGTTATTGATTCTTTCTTACCTCGAAATACGGATGTTGGAACAGTGGAAAAGAAATTGAACGAATATAGAAAACAATTTTCCATTAAAAAAGCAACTCAACTAAAATGCTTAGTTTGCCCTAACTCTATTGTGCCTTATGTTGATAATAATATTATCACACATGTAGAGGGTAGACCCCATAGACAAGTATGTGCTAAGTTATTCCTTAAAAATAGTTTAAAGAAGATATCCTTGTCAGAGTATTATTGCAATTCGTGCAATCAATTTATTGACGACTTTCTTATTCACATCAAATCGCACGATAAGAATAACGAATGTGACAAGAGCCCGGCATCATTTATAGATATGAATAGCAGTTCAAGTTCAAAGGAAGAACCGAGTGAGAGTAATTTATCTAAAAGTGTTATTGATTCTATCTTACCTCGTAATACGGATGTAGGAACAGTGGAAGAGAAATTGAACGAATATAGAAAACAATTTTCCATTATAAATGCAACTGAACTAAAATGCTTAGTTTGCCCTAACTCTATTGTGCCCTATGTTGATAATAATATTATCACACATGTAGAGGGTAGATCCCATAGACAAGTATGTGCTAAGTTATTCCTTAAAAATAGTTTAAGGAAGATATCCTTGTCAGAGTATTATTGCAATTCGTGCAATCAACTTATTGACGACTTTCTTATTCACATCAAATCACACGTAAAACATAAACCTATACCAATAAAACATATAGATGATAGTAAAAAACAATTTAAAAAGTATGTCTATGAGGATCCATTAAATTTGAATCCTATAGCGATTGAATGTAGAAAAAAGTATAAACTTCAGCTTCAACAAAACCAAATCGTACCGACATCAGACAAGTGTTTTAACTGTAAATTATGTTTGATAACGATGTCGAGGATTAGTGAAATTGATCATATGTTTGGTGAACGGCACAGGCTTGCTATGTCTTTGGCTTCGAATACCAGCTACTAATAGTTACAATTGCATATCTTTACTTTCTGTTCTCTCTTTCAATTATTCTAAAACTTGAAGTGTTAAGTATGTGCACTAAGTTAGCAAACATTTTTAACTTAATTGTAAGTTCAAGTTTATCGAATGTTATTTTGAAAATAAGTGCCAAGTTACAATTATAAAGTGATTAAACATAATCCAATTTACTATTTATATCTTTATTAGAATTAGATTAGATTAGATTTATTAGAACATTTCTGTTATTTTTTAATAAAGTATTTTTCTTGTAATTTATTTTTTCTGTTTTCCTCTGAATTGAACCATTTCATAGGAGTAGGTATGGAGTTTGATCACACAACAATATTTTTAAATATCCCACATCATATTTATCATCTACGAACGGAGGCAGCAACGAGACTAAGACCTATTTCTTAGCGTTCCATCGATTCACCGCGCGTGTGCCGGTACCATCGCGTGAGAGATGGGGGCAACACATGCAACTTCGACAGCGCCTGGGAATTGCGACCCAGGAATGAGTTTAGGGAGCACTCCTTGTGACGTGTCAGCGCTCACCTCCACTGTCTGATGTGTTACCCCTCTACCTCATTCGTTCAAGAAAAGAGCTTACTAAAGCTCTCGGCAATCCAAGGTCTTTAAGCAGGTTATAGAGAGATTTAGCTGGTATACCCCTCGAACCCACATCCACGGCATACAACACAACGACATAACCATTATTAATTATTTCGTTGGTTAATTCAAAGTAATTGTTTCTTTTTAAAGCGTTTTCTTTAGAGATTTTCATTTCCCTCGGCACCGTGAGTTATACTAATACTACACGCTCCCGCATCCTACTCCGAATATCGACCAATCTCTATCCTACCCTTTCTTTCAAAGGTGCTTGAACGTATTCTCCACAACCAGCTCAATTCAATTCTTTGCAGAAATAACCTCCTTAACCCATTCCAATCTGGTTTCCGTCCCGGCCACAGCACAACTACCTGTTGACTTCGACGTTCTCCTTGTCATATTAAACTCTCTTAACATATCTCCATCAGCTATTGAGTGGTTTCGTGGTTACCTGTTTGGTCGCCGGCAGCGTACCCGCCTGGATGACAACTATTCCAACTGGTCAAATACGTCCGCCAGTGTGCCACAGGGTGGCGTTTTATCCCCTTTACTATTTTCAATATTCATCAACACAACCACTAATCAACTTCTCTCTTCCTACCACATGTACGCAGACGATTTGCAAATATATTACCAAACAGATCTTAATGAGCTGCCACTAGGTATTGACGGCATAAATAGAGATCTGAGCCACATATATCAGTGGACAACAATGTATGAACTCAAAGTTAAAGGAAAACGCAAGTGACAGTAATCGGGAGCTCCAGACTTATCGCAAAAGTTGACTGGCTTGCACTACCACAAATATCTTTTGAAGGCGTAACAATTCCAATTAGCAACTATGTCAAATTTAGGGGTCTACGTTGACAAAACCCTTTCATGGAATGCTCAAATACAAAATGTCAGCCTTAAAATGTTTGCCTTAAAACCTTCAGGAAGTGCCTGGCTGTACCTTTTTCCGCACTGCACATCGTACAAGCCTTTTCTGTAGCTTTTCCCCACTTTACTTGGTTGCTTTGATCGGGGAGAGTTAATTGACAGGCGTTGAGGTCAAATTTTAATAGGAGGAGTTAATAAATGTCAGCCTTAAAATGTTTGCCTCTGCCGCCTGTTTAAGAAGATTACGTAATTTCCTTCCAACTGCCACTAGGGTTGAGCTCACACAATCAATTATTCTTCCCATCCTTGACTATGCCGATGTCAGCTATCTTGATCTGAACGAGGACCAATTCGATAAGCTTGAGAGACTTCAGAACTTCTGTATAAGATTCATTTTTGGCTTGCGCAAATATGATCATATTTCCGAATTTCGTAAAAACTCAAGTGGCTCCCAATTCCGCTTCGCCGGAATACTCACATCCTCTCTTTACTGTATAATATTTTATTTAATCCTGCAACTCCTATCTACTTAAAGAGACGATTTGCATTTATCCATGACACACATACACGATACTTGAGATCATCAGAAAATCTTACACTAGAAATTCCAACACACCACAACTTTTACTGATACATCTTTTACAGTACAAGCAGCACGCCTATTGAATTCCTTACCGGAAGCTATAACGCGGGCACGGTTAGTGAGTACTTTTAAGAGACTCGTCAAGGATCACTATTCATCTCTGTGGGAACTATATATGTGTTATATATGTAGGTATGTAATGTATGTATATGTATGTATGTATGTGTATATTTATATAAATGTACGTATGTGTATGAATATGTATTTATGTAAATCTATATTATGCACACCACAGACTACATATCACTATACAGTGTTGTCCATCTAAAGGTTGCCTGTAAGAGATTGCAGACTGCGATAAGGCCGCCCATTGTACCACTGTTTTTTTTTTAATTTTATGTTCATATTGCATTGTATGTTTTCTATCCATGGTGTGCAATAAAGATCCTATCTATCTATCTACACGCTTAATTGACACTGCATGAAGAAATGGTCTGGACACCAAGGCACAGATATCCGCTGGTATTGTGTAATGATTTTCATACTTGTCCACTAATAATGTCCAGTCACGGGCGGTATTTATAATTAAGTACGGCTTTCGTGAGGTCCTTTTTGTTTGAGCCTTCCTTTACAAACTCGATGTTAGTTCTTGTTTGTTGTTATTCCGTTTTTCGCTCTCGCCAGTGATAAACTCATAGCTTCGCATATGATTTGTAATACCCTATCATGGCGACGTGAATAATGACCCCGGTCTAATAGCACCTTACAACCTTCAGGAAGTGCCTGGCTGTACCTTTTTCCGCACTGCACATCGTACAAGCCTTTTCTGTAGCTTTTCCCCACTTTACTTGGTTGCTTTGATCGGGGAGAGTTAATTGACAGGCGTTGAGGTAGGTGACCAATCGTATCAAGTGGGCAGGGCGGCAGCACGGGACCCTTTCCTTCCGGCTGACGCAGGTGCTTTCCGGGCACGGTTGCTTCGGAAAGTACCTGTACTCGGTCGCTAGGAGGGAATCGAGTCCCGCCTGCCACCACTGCGACTGCGGTGAGGATTCGGCCCAGCACACGCTGGCGGTTTGCCCCGCATGGGCGACGCAGCGCCGGGCCCTCACTGCAGTCATCGGAGCAGATCTCTCGCTACCGGCCGTAATTCGCTCCATGGCCGGTAGCGACAGTTGTTTTACCGCGGTCGCAACCTTCTGCGAGGAGGTAATCTCGCAGAAGGAGGCGGCGGAGAAGGCCCGGGAGGACGACCTCCACTCGGACCTGATCCGCCGCCGGCGAACCGGGCGGCGGAGGCGCGCTCACCTGCGCCTCATGCCGCCCTGAGTGTGGCCGCGGGTGGACGGGATGGGTTCTCCCCTCCACCCGCATTAGTTGGCCAGCCGCGAGGGGGCGGCGTCCGCGTGTGCCGGACGTCGCCTAAAGAGAGGGTCCACTGAGACGGAGCCCGCATCAGGAGCGGGCCGGCGCTGGGAGGGGTCCAGAAGGAGATAGCTACCTGGACCCCTCCTAAACTGGAAGCGGGCAGTAAAGAGGGCACACCGTGTGGTTTTAGTCGGTTCGAGTCCGACACACCGCCCCGCCGAACGAGAGCCCCGGCGGGGTGACGGTCCGAGGGGATTTCCACACGTAAAAAAAAAAAAATAAAAAAAAGGTGACCAATCGTATAAAAGTATGCGCCATTTAAAAGCTAGTGGGATACAAAATTCTGCTAGAGTTAACCATTCATTCTGCATTTTTAGGTTAATTGCGTGAACCTTGTAGGTTTCGTTTTCATCTTGTTGTAGGAAAGACTTTGTTACCTCTTTGTCGGTCTGTCTTCTAGCATTTCCAAATTCAACTCTACTGGTCTGCGTACCCACCATGAATTTCCTGTGGAATAGAAGCCGTGACTCGAGCTCTGATGAATTTTTGTCTCTTAGAAGGGATCTAACGATTTCGTCTTGTAATTTTGACAAGACATGCATTTTGGTAATTCTTAGGTATTTGTTGAGTTCAGAGGGTCTTTTTTTTCATTCCAAAGTTATTGGAGCCCCTCTACAACGTTTATGGGTCTGCAGATTGGGCTAGCCCGAGCCACGACTTCAGTGTCTTAGTAACTTTCGCGTCCAGTGTTCTTAAGGGGTTCTGATTTATATCGTATAGCAGAAACGACCAGTTGAGACGTGATGTTAAGTAGTTGTCGTAAATCCAAGATTTTTTTACGTTCCTTATTGGCTGTTGGCCTACCTTGTCAATGTCTTTTTCGAAGTCATCGACTATTGCGTTCATAAATGGAGTAAGACCTTTGTGGTCTATTTTTCTTCCAAGGAATTTAAAAGGCACGGTTTCTGAAATTATTGAAACACTTTCCCCACCAATAGTAATCCTAGGGTCATATGAGGTATATCGGGTTCTTCGCCGGAAGAGACAAAGGCAATAGCATTTGCTAAGTTTTATCCTCATTCCCTCCGTCCAGGTACAGAAGTTAACCTTACGAAGTAGTTCTTGGCACTGCTTTGGGTTTCGTGTGAGGATTGCAAGGTCCTCTGCGAATGCTAAAATGGATTCCGTATATTTTCCATTGACCTTAAACCGTATGTTGCGATATTGTCTATTAATATGTATATATAACTGTATAAAATACTACTGGTGACAAGCAGCAACTTTGGAACAACCCTACTCTTTATTCGAGGGGTTTGTATGTCCCTCTTTTGCTGTGACTATACAGAAGCTCAAAAAGTCCGAAGTCGCATATTTTGTTACAATTTACAATGCCCATTATTACTGCTCAGAAATTACAGGTCCATAAACATAACTCAATTGCTCTATTTATGACCCATAAACAACGTTAATAGGCTGTTAATATTGTGAAACCAAAGACTAAATAGATACTAACGCTAAGGGGGATGGCTACACGGCTGTAGGGATGGAATAAAATTACAATCAC